AGTGTTAACACTGAGTTGAATGACTTTTCACATACCTAAAAAAGGAAAAGTTTATCAAGAACGGTGCGAAAACTCTTGAATATATGTAGGTACGTGTCATAGAATTTCTTTCACAAAAATTAACAATTTTATCCTTGCATGACAATTTACGACATGATGATAATGTATATTGTATTTAAAATAAATTATAATATTATTATTTAAAATTAAAAATTAACTTTTTTTTTGAAGGGTTAAAAATTAACTTTTAAATAACATTTGATTGTATATTTGTTAGTTTTACGTTAATTTCTAACATAATAATTTCATTAATATAGTTTTTATCCTTAAAGATAAATTTTATATGACAAGAGTCACTGTATTAAAGCCAAGTTTATAATAAAGAATTATAATAAGACAGTTTTTTAAATTAAAATAAATTAAGTTATATTTGATTCAATTTTATATTTAACATTGAAGATAAGCTAATTTTTTTTTATCAATATGTTTCATATAATATCTCAAAATTAACAACTAAGAATTCATTTGTATTTATAAAAACAGAATTTTCATTAATAAAACATTATCTCATATAAATACCAAGTTGATTCTATGTCCTAGAATAAACTATTTCATAATCAAGTGGTTAGTGGAAATATACATATATTTTTTATAAAGATAAATAGTCAATAAAACTTATACCGATAGTTTTATAAAAATCCCAAATTGTAGTTACTATCGGCCTCAATTATTGTAAGCATGAAATTGAGTTTGTTATACGGTTATTTGACACAAGTATTAAAATCAAATTTCAGGAATGGTGATTTGCAAACCTATTAAAGTCTAAGAAGATACATTGGTTAGAGCAGTACAGAATTGAAAATAGGCATCAGTCTTCTTTGAGTGTAGCTAATTCATGGATAGCTTCAAACACAAGAAAATAATGACACCTCCGTTTGACCATCTTAAGCAGCCTCACACACCAAAATATTACATCCCTAAGACTCGAGAGGAACTCTACCCTCACATTGGTATATATTCCACAATTGTTTAGAATAATATAATTATGTACATTTATAACACTAATTAAAATTAAGAGTTAAATAAATATCACTATATCATCTAATAAAAGAAAAATTAATTATAATTAAAGGAAATTAAATAATTGTTTTTAGCTTACATGATATAAAATTTAGTTAATTGATATTTAATTATAAAATTTGTATTTATAATTAATTGTCATTAAGAGTGAATTTAATTCTAGTTATAATACAACTATTATTCTTGTAATCGATTTTATTGAATTAAGCATGAAGGATTACACTTAAATATACAAAATTAGTTTGAATTTGTTAAGAATTTTTAAGATAAAAGAAAATAAAAGAAATTAAAATATTATAATTTCACCATAAATTTCAAATGGTGTATTTTAATATAATAGTTAAAAAACATTATTCACATATATAAAACATATAATTTGTTAACATATCACTAATTATTTGTTCCAGCATATGAGTTTTTGCAAATTAAATATAATTAAAAGACATTAAATAATTGAATTTTAAGTTAAATAGTATAGTGGTATAATTTAATTAATTTAAAATTTTAATTATAGAATTGTATTTATAATTAATTACTATTAAGTATGAATTTAATGCCAATTACAATATAATCGTTATTTTTGTAATGAAATTTATTGAATTAATTAAGCGTGATTGATTGTACTTAATTATGTAAAATTAATTTGAATTTATTAGGAATATGTAAGATAAAAAATATTAAAGTAATAAAAAAAATATTATAATTTCACCAAAAGCATTTCATAATTCATATATTATAAAATATAAATAATTTGTTAATATATGACTAATTTTTTTAATACAGTGGAAAATATATGGGTGTTAAAATAATGATTTCTTCCTTCTTCTTTAACTTTTAAATTATTTTATGTTAACATTTTTTATGATGATTATCACGATATATAAAAATAGTAAATCAGATAATTAATGAGAAAGAAAAACAAGTATTATATATATATATAAGTTAATTTTATGAAATAAAAAAAATAATGAGAATTACCTTTAATTTTTTGTGAAAATTATTAAGTTAGATGAAAACACAAATTTAAATTATTCACGAGAGAAGGAAAATTAATAGCACTTAAATACAATGAAGATTAAAATTATGACAATAAATGGAAATTACAGTTCAAAGCATTCATGAAAAAAGAGAATGAATATTATTTTTGACAATTTAATTTTTTGAAATAAGTAGAAGAATGAAAATTACATTCAATTCCTTATGAGAATTGTAACATAAAATGATAATTACGATTTAGAGATAAATATGGAAGAAAATAAAAATTTATAAAAAAGCAGTAACACCTTAGGTTTAGAGTTAAAAATGGAGGAAAATGAAAAATTAGAGAAAAGTAATAACACTTGTTGTTCCTTTAAACTTTCCTCTCTTTTATAAGTTAATATTCTGAAATTCTTAGACTAAGATGTATTTTGTTTCTATGACAAATTTTTCAACTTCTTAAATAAATCATATTTTTCTTTCATAACAATTTTTTTGACTCCTTTGATGAATTTTCTTCCTCCGATGCAAATAAAATGGAATAAAAAGTTAAATATATAGCGGTGATTATGAAAAAAAAAAAAAGTGAGGTATCCATTAGTTATGAAGTTTACATAAGAAATGTAAAAGGATGAGAAAAGATTGACACATAAGTAAATACGATGATGTACCAACATGTAAGATCAGTTTTATAGCGACATGTCAATGTAATAACTCATAGTTGAACTTTTATATTATAAATAGAATATAGATTTGTTTTTCTTTTGATTACAATATAATCACCTAATTCAATACCATAAAATCAAATAATTTGGAAGACCTCTTTCTAAACAAATTGTATTAGACTAAATATTCATATAAGTTATAAACTACTCTTTTTTCTCAATTCCTAAGGGATGTAGAACTTTGATAATTGTCAAATATGTCTATAATTTTTTTAATCTAATTTAGACTATTATTAAATATATCTTATGCTTCATAATCTTTTTTTTTGTCACAAAACACGTAGTTAGAGTTAATTTTATTTTTAGGATGAAATTGTCTAAAATTAGGTATTTTTAATAGTTTTTGTGTTGAGATATGACATAGGAGAATGAAACTTGAAAGCTATAGAGTCTTAAAAGAACTCTCACATCAAGATCAACTGAATATACTCTAAGCATACCTATCTCAAAGAATTTGATCAAAGCGACCAATAGCTTGCTTTAAGCAAGTCCACATAAAGATTGCCCCTAGAAGCACACAATAGCTTGCTTAAGTGAGAAAAGTTCTCGCTACTTAAGCAAGTAAAGTTCTCGCTCTGAGCAAGTCAGAATTTGCTTAGAGTGATCATGATGGGTGCTCTAAGTGAGGCAAGTCATATACTATCCCTAGGAGATCATGATAGCTCGCTTAAGCAAGCAAGACACTCACTCTAAATGAGTTAAAATTCACTTAAAGCGATCATGATAGACACTCTAATTGAGGTAACTTTTAGCGAACTACATGGACATTTTTAGCGAGCTTGCACAAACAAAAACCCGTTTAAACTTTATAAATTAGGTTTTTTAGAAGATCTTTGTATCTTAGTTTTTACAAGCACAAATTTGGAGGGATTAGAGAGAATTTTATGTGAAAGCATTTTCGTAATCACAGATCACTCCAAAATCTCTTCTTTTCTTGTTTGTAATATGTAGTTGTGATCATCTAAGTCTCTACTATTAGAGATTGATGTAATCGTTTTACTCATATATGTAATCTTCCTTATTCTCATTCAATATAGTGTTTTTATTTAGTTAATCACTTTTACTTCGTACTTAATGTTTGTTTTGGTATGATCAACCATTGCATGGTTTTATAATTTTAATTGAGATTGAGAAATCCTTTTAGAATTACCATTTAAGTAAAACACTAATAATACTTATTACTAGTAATAAGATAACTCTTATTGATTAATATTTAGGTCCCTAACCTTAATGTATGTTGTTTAAACAAAATTATCAAAAAATTGAAATTTTCCTTAAACAACCTTAAATTTATCACCTAAATAAACAAGATTTAAATATACTTGCAGGCAATTGAATTAACTATATAATTTCTAATGTTATATAATTTTTTTTAGAGGATTTACATATATGAGAGAGACTTACTTCAAGAGTAACTTTACTAAGAGTTATTCCGTTTAATAACTCAAGGTTTATATTAAATTTTAACAATTCAATGGTTAAATTAAAAATTCTTAATGAATAGACTAAGTCTACAAAAATTCATATAGTATCTAGTGGGCAAGCTTATTGGAGACTCAATGTTATCATTACTTCACTCATTGACAAATAAATATTCAACACATTGCATCTTAATCTATAATCTATTGTATAGAATGTGAGTCTAATTCAACACACAAGTTATGTGTATGAAATCAACTTTGTTGATGACTAATGTTCATTAGGAAACTTGATTGACTAATTTTAGTGGAGTCTTCCTTCTAATCATGTTTTTTTCGTACATAAAACTCAAATTTGAAATCTTATTTAAGGAGACCAAATCTACAGTGTGTTTGTTTTCCTGTTTGATACAGGTAAACATACGTTTATTTTAATCCACCAAAACTCATATTTCTCCGTTTTATTACTTTGGAATGCCCGCTACCAATTATACAAACACACACCTACTATCACTTGAACCAAGACATGATGGTATCTTTTGAATAATTTGAAATTTAAGTCCAAAGAATTAAAAAAAAATGCTACCATAAAATACATTGTAAATTAAATTGGTTGAAATGAAAGATAAAAAATGAGAATGTCTAACAAACTAAAGCATTAAGGTAAGCATATGTGTTTATGACAAAATAAAAAAGTGTTAAGCAGCATCTGTGTTTTCTTGCAAAACATTCATCCTCAACTCCCTCTAAATATTCCAAATGTCCAACCTTAAATTTGGTTCTCGTGTTTGACGAATCAAATCAGACACCAAATTGACCACAGTGAGTACAACACTACAACTCTCTCTTATTATTTCCCTTCTGCTTCTCTTGTTACAATCACAAAATGGGGTTCTCCTCTTTTCTGGGTCGTCTCCTCTTTGCTTCCCTCTTCATCCTCTCCGCGTGGCAGATGTGAGCCCTCTCTCTCTCTCTCTCTCTCTCTCTCTTTTGGATCAATCTGTTTCTTTTCTTTTGCATAACATTCAGATTACTTCAAAAAAATTGTCTCTTTCGTTTTTGTGCATCTGGGTTTTCATTCAGATTTGTGTTTCACTGAGACACACATAGACCCATGACGCTGTTTATTGGATGTTTGTTTTGATAATTGGATCTAATGTCGCTTTCCCTTTAGCTGCTTCCTTGCTGTTCCTTCGAATCAGTGGGGATTTTCATGTTCGTGATTAGTATCGAGTTCGATATCAAGTTACGTAAAGACTGCAAATTGATATTTTAAATGGCGCATTTGACATGGGTTGTGTACAGTTCGTGCCTAATACACTGCAAGGAACTATGAGACAGTAATAGTACGATGAACTGTTCTAAATCTTGATAATTCATTTGTTGAAACTTTTAGTCAATAGTAATGTTGACTTTTATTTTTCTACTTTCAGTCCTTCGGAAACCCTGTTTTTTTTCTTTAATGAATTCTGCAGCCTCTAATGTTACATTTTGTCTATATTAGGGTATAGGTTGATGTTGAATATAAAAGCTTAATAGAAGCTTAGTTGTGTTAAGATATCAACTGACAGAGTAAGAGCTCAGCTGGCTGGTTTTTCAATGATATTTGTTGCATAAAAATATGAGGACCCAAAATGTACCATATGCAATTTATGCAGAGATTGCAGTTCTACTAAATTTTACTGCTCTGATTTGATGTCTTGGAGACTTGTTGATTGGAATGCATTTCTGTTGCCAGCCACAGCCTTTTCAGCAGTTTAAGTCCTATTACTTTTTTTTGTAACTTGCCTGGTGGTTGATCACAAGGTTGATGTTTATGTATGAGCATAGGTTGTGTACCAAGTATTTTAGCCTATCAAATGTTGGGTTGTTAAAAGTAATTTCTAGTTTGGTAATGATAATAGTAATACTATTGAAGAAACATTTAGTCATTTAGTGCTTTCGTGTATTTATATGGAATGTATGTTGCTAGGTTTAATGAATTTGATGACACTGGTGGATCCATTGCAAAGGAGTTGATTCCCAAGCTCACTGTTGTGAGGAGAAATTTATCCTCCAATCTGGGGCTTGAGATACCAGATATTAATGTAAGGCCATCTATCAATTTTTTGTAATGGAATTCAATTTATGCTTGTACAAGTGTTTCTGAATAAAATGCTAAATACAGGTTCGGCCAGTCATTGCCTCTATCATATTTCTAAAGGGGGTTGGAGGAATTCTATTTGTGCTTGGAAGTACATTTGGATCTTATCTTCTGGTAAGCGCTTGCTCTCTTAGCTTTGAAATGAATAAAAGTTGTCGTTCTTAAATTTATTTTTCCAGTTTTGATCATAAAGCATTATAACCCTGATTACTATTTTTTTTTTCTAGCTCTTGTATTTGGGGCTTTCTACTCCAATTCTGTATGATTTCTACAACTATAGACCTAATAACCCTGAATACAATTTGCTGCTGAATGATTTCATTCTGGTATGTGCAAACTATTGTTATTTCTTGTGTTTCTATCTGACGATTTTACCTGTGTGAAAACTTATTATAATGTGTTCACTTTTGATGGCAGAGCACAGCACTTTTTGGTGCATTGCTATTTTTTATAGAGTTGAAGCACTCGATTCCTAGGAAACAAATCAGGAAGAAGAACCCAAAAGCAAAGACAGTTTAGAAATTAGAAAAAAAAATTATGTATTTGTTTCAGCGAAAAGGTTATTAAATTTCTTTGTTACTGCGATATGCCGATATGGTATAATTGTTTAAACCTTTTTGTATTGATGATATTGTATGCTGGCACATAATTTTATTATGGATAAGCTTAATGGTGTGTTTGGATGAGGAATTTTACAAATTCAAGGAATTTTAAATTCTTGGTATTTGAATTACTTTAATTTCAATTTCTATCATTTTTAAAATATTTTGTTTGGATAAGTCAATTCAAATTTCTCAAATTTTAAATTGTTAGGTTGGATATAATAATTTGATTCCATTATGATAAAATTAATTTTAAAAATATATTTATATGTTGAAAATTTTAAATTCAATTTTTAAAAAATAAATATTAGCTAATTTTTAAATATTTAATAATTTTAAAAATTAATAGTAGATAATATTTAATAATTTTAAATATATTTTTGAATATTCAATAATTAAAAACATGAAGAGATAATAGATAAGATAAAATATATAAGTGAAATAAGAAGAAAAAAGTATGAGGAATTTCAAATTCTTACTCTTTTGGGAGAATTTGAAATTCTACTATTTCAAGGAATTTCACAAATGCTTGAATTTCAAATTCCTTATAAATTCCTCATCCAAACAAGATATTTCACCTCAAAGAAATTGAAATTCTTCAAATAAATGAATTACTCCATTTAAATTCTCCATCCAAACACACTATAAGCGTTTTCATACAATTCTGTTGTAGTTGCACTAAGAATATCTATTAACAGAAGCTTTGGTTAGATTCCCTATTCAATCAAGGTTTGATCGCTAAGATATTCTGGCACTAATTATCTCGATGTTTAATCTAGTTCATTTTGTTTAATTATATATATAAAATATCCATGATATATATATATATATATATATATA